CTACACCTTTGATTTAATGCAACATATACCTCAATAAAAAGGAGTATTGGGAAATGAATACATTAATTATGTAGATAGGAATACAATTCTCAGGAAAGTATTATGTCAATACTGATAAGAGATAACAGAAATGAATAAGAATCAATCAGGAACATGGCATATCTCAGTTACAAGAAACAAACCAGGTTTTAAAAATAATAGATTGGATGCAAACATCTGGCCAGTCACCAAAAAGACAAATTCGGACTTGCAGGTTGGCTGCATGCAAAGTTATATCCAGCCACTATGAAGAAATAAGCAAGAGATGAGACCATGGGAAAAAGTAGCAACATACAGAATTCAGCATAAAGAAATGTATTTAAAAAGGAGAATAATGTTAGAATAATGGAGCTGACCCTTCAGGGGAACTGACTGAACCAAGCTGTTGGTGTGATAACCTGAAACCCTGCTGTCTTCTCATTCAGTCCCAATACGCCCTTGGCACAAAGACCTGGCTCGATCCTGTAAGGTTTGGCGAGACAGAGAAAAGGGAGAGGGAGACTTGAGCCAGGCGCCATTTCAGCCAAAAAGCTTTATCCCACTAATGTGGAGGGAGACTGAGCCAGATCAGTCCTCCTGAACCAAGGAAAGCAGGACGTTTATAAGACTCTTAGGGAGCGTTCTTACAGACTAATGGGCAATTTAAAAATCAGTGGCATGCAAGGTGACACAGCCCTTGTGGTCTGATAACATCTGGTCAGTTAGGGCATAGGCTCTTGATTAGCCACCATCTCAGCCCATAAGACGTTCCTTTGATGCTAATGGTAATGTTTACCTCTTCCCAGGAGAGGAATCTCAGTTCCCAGAGGGAAAAGGGAAAGGAAGAGGAAAGGTAGAAAGCTGCTCAACATGGCTGCGCTGAAGCTAAGCCAACCGTGAGACCCAATATATCCCAGGGCCCAACCACCTTGGGTGGGAGACAGCTCCTGTCTAGGACTCAGATTTCTCTTCAGCAAAATAGGGTGACACAGCCCCCACTGAAATGCAGCTGCCCAACCTCCCTCTCTGAGCTCCTATCCCCCACAGCCAGATCAGTCCTCCTGAACCAAGGAAAGCAGGACGTTTATAAGACTCTTAGGGAGCGTTCTTACAGACTAATGGGCAATTTAAAAATCAGTGGCATGCAAGGTGACACAGCCCTTGTGGTCTGATAACATCTGGTCAGTTAGGGCATAGGCTCTTGATTAGCCACCATCTCAGCCCATAAGACGTTCCTTTGATGCTAATGGTAATGTTTACCTCTTCCCAGGAGAGGAATCTCAGTTCCCAGAGGGAAAAGGGAAAGGAAGAGGAAAGGTAGAAAGCTGCTCAACATGGCTGCGCTGAAGCTAAGCCAACCGTGAGACCCAATATATCCCAGGGCCCAACCACCTTGGGTGGGAGACAGCTCCTGTCTAGGACTCAGATTTCTCTTCAGCAAAATGGGGTGACACAGCCCCCACTGAAATGCAGCTGCCCAACCTCCCTCTCTGAGCTCCTATCCCCCACCCCCAAACTGGACCACCATCTTGAGTGTAGGAAAATAGCCTAAGTGATTCATTTTCAAGAATAGCTTAACAAAGGTTGCTTGCAGATGTGACAACCCCAGAAAGCGCACTTTCCCGAAAGTGACTTCTCAAGATGGTGGCCGGTCACCAGCCCTTTGTTCTTTTTACTTCCTGGTTCTTCTCCCTCCTCAGGACATTTGGTGGGCCTTACTCATGTGCTTGTCTGAGCCCACCCCTTTCCACCAGAGGGAGGGGGGCAATAAATGCCTTTTAAGGAAATAATAAAATTTACACGATGTCCAGGAAGATTGTGCACCCCATAGTACTCAGCCAATGAGGAACTGGGGGAGGGACTTACACGCTAAAGAAGAAATTGCTTGCTGTAACCGTTTTGGGTGTGCCTGCCCATCAGACACCCGATCTTGCAAGACCACCATTAAAGTCTCGCTTTGCTGTACCTCATGTCTCTGTGTCTTTTCTTTGGCATTGGACAGGGGAAGATTGTGCACCCCATAGTACTCAGCCAATGAGGAACTGGGGGAGGGACTTACACGCTAAGGAACAAATTGCTTGCTGTAACCGTTTTGGGTGTGCCTGCCCATCAGACACCCGATCTTGCAAGACTACCATTAAAGTCTCGCTTTGCTGTACCTCATGTCTCTGTGTCTTTTCTTTGGCATTTGACAGGTGAGGGCATTTCTCACATCGAGTACCTGATGTGTGTGGTGAGGCGGGGACAGAGTCTGGGAGGCCTGGCGTTGGGGAAGAGGAGGTGGATCAGGTTCTGAATCTGGCTGTCTCCACCCAAACTTTCCATTGCCAGTCTGCATCTGCCCCAGGCCTCTTTGCCACCTGCTGGGTGGGGCAGGAGTGGGGGCAGTGGGGTGGGGATGGAAACCATCAAGAAGGGCGACTGGGCTGCTGGGAGTGGTTTCTGCTCAGCTTCCCCCTCCCTCTTCGCTGCCTATTAAGAAACTTCTTTCAACATCCTCCCCGCACCCGACCCCTTGCAGTCTTCCTCTTCCAGAGTAGTCGTGGGCCTATGGGGCCTGATCTGGGGCTGGGTTCTGATGTCATTCTTCGTCTGGATGGTGGCGGGTGCGAGCACATCCCCCACCCCACCTCACTCCATCCTGCATACTTAGTGGGATGATGGTAGGAGTTCTGCAAGGACGAACAAGAGAGAAAGACTTAAAGGACAGAAACAGGACAGGAGTACATGGTACACAGAGTTAGAGACAGGGAGAGACAGAGAGAGAGACGATCACAGAGACAGAATAAACAGAATAACCCAGAAATGAAGAAATGACAGCATGGTATTGCACCATTTGCGCCTTCGGGCTAACTGCTTCCCATCTGAAGGCTCAGTTTCCTCCTCTGGAGGACGGGGGTGGTCAGTCCCCTCCCTCAGCTGCTCGTGGTGAGCAGTCAGTGACTCCTCACACATCTAGAGTGGCCAGAGGCTCAGGAAATGGCCGCTGTCATTACTTTTCCCTCCTTCATTCCACCATATTTACTGAGCACTTACCATACGCCAGGCACACTCTAGGAGCCATGGGTACAGCGCTGAACAAATCAGGCCAAACTCCTGCCCCCTTAAAGCTGCCTTTTCTATTATTACTGTGTTGGTAGTTACTGTTATGTTACGGAGGCATCAACTGGGACTTCAGGGGAGACACCCTCAGCCCTAGGCAGGAGGTTCTGAGCTGGGAAGAAGGGCCTGGAGTTGCAGTCTCGGCTTGGCCTCTCAGGACCTGACATGTCCACGTATGAAATGAGCGTCTCTTCTCTCTGCCAGGCAGCCAAAAGATAGGGCTGGCTGGGCGGTGGCACAATGAGCCTTCTCCGCTGTTAATATTATTATAAATACAAACTGTCCATACTCTTATTAGCTCCAAAAAAAGAGGCAGTGCCCCTGGGAACCCTCAGTGAGTGGAAAGCTCAGGGGCCCCAGGAAGAGGGTGCCACGCCAGCCTTGCCCCAGGGCCAGGGTCTGTGCCAGGCGTGGGCGGTGGGTGGGAAGGGGTGCCGGTGAGTCACCAGGGCCGCCTCTGCTCTACTTTACTTAAGGCCCCCAGCAGTTATACCGCCACCACTGCTGCCTGTCCTACTGAACCAGCCATGTCAGGGAGCTACGTGAGTGTGCCAGGGGGCCAGAGGAGGGAGCTTGGGGGCCTTGGACCCAAAGTTGGGCCAGATGGGGAGGGGCTGGGGCCTGGCTGAGATCTCCTGTTTCAAAGGTGAAAGTGGGTGTTGGGTGTGCTGGGAATTGTCCAGGGCTGTGGCCTCTGGGTTGACTCACCCCCTCCTGTTTGTCCCCATCTCCCTCTTTGTGGCCGTCTCATGGTTTTTCTCTCTTTGAACAATTTTCTGTCTCTCTTTATTTCTCTTCCCATCTCTTTCCCTGTCTCTGTCTCTTTCTTCCTCTCTGAGACTTTTCTCTTTGACTGTTTCTGCTGGTCTTGGTCACTTTGTCCATGGGGCTGACACACCTTTCCTCCGTCTCCCTGGTTCACCTTTCCCCCTGCCCCCCACACTCCTGCAGACCATCCCCCACAAGACCTCGCTGCCTGAGGGCATCCGCTCAGGCACTGTGCTGAGAATTCGAGGTGTCATCCCTGACAAGGCTGGCAGGTGAGACCCCAGACCCCGGGATAAGGAGTGGGAGGTCTCCAGGCTCAACTGACCCCCAATTCTTATAGCCCAGAGATGGGGACCCTAGGGCCATCTCTGCCCACCAGAGTTTTAGAATCCCCAGGATATTTCTGTCCTGAAATCTGACTTATTCACTTATTTGCCCTGTAACTGTGTGTCTGGATTCCACAAGTCTCCCTAAGAATCTGGGGCACCAGGGCAACCTCAGAGTTCCTAGCTATAGTCCTGTGACTTCCAAGTCTGAGTCCCCAGGAATTCTGGAAATAGTCTTTGAGTTCTGGAGGTGCTCTCAACAACGTGGGAGGCCTTAGCAATCAATCCTATGACTTCATGGCTGTGAGAACTTTAGGCCTTCTGGGAATCTAGGGTACCCTGAAAATGTTGGGGTTCCTGGTATTGTTCCTAATCCTCTGGGAATTGAAAATTCCCTGGGAATCCAGAACACCGTAGCCATCAGCACCAGGATTCCTTGGCAGCTCCAGACTCTGGAAATGAGGGGACCCTGACCATAAGCACAGGGACCCTGGTCTGAGTGAATGTGTGCCCAGGGCCTCAATAAACTTGTGGATGCCTTGGGAATCTGAGTTCTCTAGCCATTAGTCCACAACCCCTCCTTCTGTGGCATGTGTCATTTTCAGGTCTTTGTAAATTTGGGGGTGCTCTAGAAATGGGGAGCCCCAGTCCATTGGCCCTTGACTTTGGTCTGGGTGGTTCCTGAGCCCTGACACCATGGTCCCCCACTTCCAGGTTCCATGTAAACTTCCTGTGCAGTGAGGAGGAGGGCGCCGATGCTGCCCTGCATTTCAACCCCCGGCTGGACACCTCTGAGGTGGTCTTCAACAGCAAACAGCAAGGCAGCTGGGGCCGAGAGGAGCGGGGCCAGGGCATTCCCTTCCAGCGCGGGCAGCCCTTCGAGGTGCTCGTCATCGTCACTGATGAGGGCTTCAAGGTGCGTTTCTGGGACAGGCGATGACGCCAAGACAGGGCCAGGACAAGGTGGGCAAGAGCCTTGTGCCCAAGGGGTGGGTGTCCCAGCGGGAAGAGGTGGTCTCAGACTGGCCGTCCTTGACCGGATTCCCCCTTCATTCATGTCTGAGGTCAGGGCTCTGGGGCACGGGGAGCACTGGGTTGGGACAGCGTCCAGGAACAAGTCCTAGCGGGGAGTGGTCCCTGCAGACCCATCACCACCCAGACCGTTCACGACTTTAATTCTGCGTTTCAATAGCGGGACAATGGACGCTGAAATAATCATAACAACATCAACTGCCAACACTAAATAAGCACTTTTTTAAATGTCCCAAGCAGTAAACTCACTGATCCTCACTACAAGATTATACAATTAACACTTGTCCCGTGTTCCCACTGGGAAACTGAGGCCCAGCTGGTCCAGCGACTTCCCCAGGGCCACACGGCGTGTCAGCGTCGGTACCTGACCCACGCAGTCGGCCTCCGGAGTCGCGACCCCTGACCCTTGCCCTTGCAGACCGTGGTCGGGGACTCGCACTACCACCACTTCCGCTACCGCCTGCCGCCGGCGAGCGTGCGCCTCGTGGAGGTGGGCGGGGACGTGCAGCTGGAGTCGGTGAAGATCTTCTGAGCCCGGGGCCTTGGATGGCAAATAAAGTGTTAGCCCGCAGGGCACCTGACTGTGTCTGTGTCCCCTTCATATAGATGAGGAAACTGAGGTTCGGAGAGGCGATGACACTGACTCGGGGTCGCACCGCGAATCCGTGGCCGGGGCAGGATTCGAACCTGCTTCCACTAGGGCGATTTCTGTCTGGAAAGGCCTTAGGAGGTTTGCGACCTGGGAGGGGGTGGGTCTGGCGCCTGTCTTGATGCTTCATTTTGCAAAGCAAGCCACGTGGTGATGTGGTTGGGGCTGATCTGCGGGCGTTTGGGGGCGGGGAGGGCCTCAAGGCATCCCTTGGCGACCGTCGCAAATACAACAGACGAAAAATGGGTCCATCTACAAAAAGAGAATGAGTCCCCACCCTCCTGCTCCCTTGGGGACCCTAACTCACGCGGAGTAAGGATTTATAAATGTCCCCGGGTCCCTGCGCTCCCTGCCCCCTCCAACTCATCTGTCCCACCCCCTCCTCCCCTGGCCTCTAGGACCCCGGGCGGGACGGGCTGGGAAGTTCGACGGGTGTTACCGAGCTCCGCCCCGGTCCCCGAGGCCGGACTAGTCCCCGCCATACACCCCCAGGCAGATGCGATGGCAGCGCCGGGCCGAGCTGTGGGAGGACGCGAAGGGCTGGACCCAACCGCCGACCCCACCCCGAACAGTTGTGACGCCCAAGCCCAGCCCCGGCGGCCAGTGTCATGGTGTTCGGGTTTCGGGGTCACTGAGGCTCCCCTTAACGGCGGGGGTACGGGTGCGGGGGGCGGGGACCACACGAGGTACCGAACCCCGCACCCTCGGGGAGGCGCTCCGGGGCGGGCCCTGGTCTCAGCCGGGACCGAGGAGCCCGCCCGGCGGCCGCGATCGGGAACTGCAGGTTGGGTCTCGGGGCCGCGATTCCGGAACATTCGTCCCGAGCCACGCCCTGGCGGGACGCGCCCGGCGCTGTGCGCGCAGACCCGGAGCAGCTGCGGGGAGCGCGGGGCTTCCCCGTGCGCGGCCCTTGGAGACCTGAGACGGTCTGCACGCCCCTAGGCCGGGGTCACTGTCCAATGAGTTCAGTTTTATTTTTGTGTCAAGAACTCATAAATATTTTTTATTTTTCTGATGTGTAAAGATAACATGTCCATACGGGACAACTTTCAAAATATGCGGTGGGAAACCCGGCGTTATCGGCACCGGTGGTGGACGGTGGTGGGGTCCGCGGAGTAGACGGTGGAGGCCGTCGTGTTAATCCTGGCTTCACCGCTGTCTCGCAATGGATGGGGGGGGGGGCGTTACTGTTCGTGGAAAGTACACGGTAAGGTATTTGGAGGTGACGAGCAGCACGTTGGCGACTGATTCTCAAATGGCTCATTAAAAATTGAAACTTACATTGTACTTAAAGCTTTCTTATGTTTGTCGTTTAAAATATGTTACCCATGTCTTCATTTATTATCTTTCAAAAAATCCTCTGTGGACTCCTAAACGCATGCACGTGGAGTAGTTTTTCCGCTGCGCAGATGGTAGCACCCTCCACCCACTGCACCTTGTTTTTGTTATTTAGCAACATGAGTCAAAGCAACATTCCCTGAGTCCCTACTGTGTGTTAGTCACTCTGCTAACCATTCTTCGAATTTCCCAAACAAACCTCTGAAGTATGTTCTCTGATGCATATTTTACAAATGAGGAATCTGAGGCACAAGAAGTTTAAGTGAATTGTCAAGATCACACATTAAGTAGATTGTGGAGCCAAGCGACTGGGACTCCACACCTTAGAGTATTAAGCCACTAGGAAATCATGTTTTGTTTTCTTTTGGTTAGTATCAACTTTATTGAGGTGTAATTTACACACAATAGAATTCATCCTTTTTTAGGTGTTCGATTCCTTGAATTTTGACAAATACATTTGTGTGACCAGCTCCACAATCAAGGTACAGGACATTTCCATCATCCCTTGCCACCCACACCACTGGCACTTGGCAGTCACTCATATGCTTTCTATCGTTTTTTTTTTGTTTTTTTGTTTTTTTAAAGATGACCGGTAAGGGGATCTTAACCCTTGACTTGGTGTTGTCAGCACCACACTCTCCCGAGTGAGCCACGGGCCGGCCCAGCTCTCTATCTTCTTAAATTAGTTTTTCTGCTCTAAAATTTGGTATAACAGTACAGTACTCTTTTGTGTCTGGCTGCTTTTAAATTTTTATTTATTTTTATTTTATTTATATATATGGGTTTTTTTGGGGGGGGCAGCTGGCTGATATGGGAATCTGAACCCTTGACCTTGGTGTTAATATCTGGCTACTTTTCCTTAGCATAATGTTTTTGAAGTTCATTCATGTGTTTGCATGTAATTTTTTGTTTGTTTATTTTAAGGCAGGGAGTGTGCTGCAATTTAATTTTATTGATTGATTGATTTTGGGGTTTTGTTTTTGTGGCTGGCCTGTACAGGGACCCAAACCTGTGACCTTGGCATTATAAGGCTGAACTCTAACCAACTGATGAATAAGCCTGCCCCTGTAGTTCACCTATTTTTGTCTGAGTTTGTAATCCATTGTATGACCATACCAGTTTGTTCATTCACTTGTTGATGGACATTTGAGTTCTTTCCAGTATTGATGATTACGAATAAAGATTGTATGAACAAGTCTTTGTGTGGGCATGTTTTGTTTCTTTTGGGTAAACACCCAGGAGCTGAGTATGGTTGCATATGCTTAAATTTATAAGAATCTGCCAAACTATTTTCCAATGCGCTTGAACCATTCTATACTTCTACCAGCAATATATGAACGTTCCACTTAATCTGCATTCTCATCAGTACGGGGAATTGTCAGGTTTTTTTTTTTTTTTTTTTTTTAAAAGATGACCGGTAAGGGGATCTTAACCCTTGACTTGGTGTTGTCAGCACCACGCTCTCCCAAGTGAGCCAACCAGTCATCTCTATATAGGGATCCGAACCCGTGGCCTTCATATCATCAGCAGCACATTCTCCCTAGTGAGCCACGGGCAGGCCCTGGAATTGCCAGGTTTTTGCTTTTTTGTTTGTTTCAATTTTATCCATTCTTGTCGATGTATATTGATCTCTCATTGCTGTTTTAATTTGCATTTTCCTTTAATGTTGTTGAGCATCTTTTCATGTGCTTAGTGGCCATTCATATATCTTCTCTCGTGAATTGTCCATTCAAATCTTTTGCTCATTTTTAATTGGATTGTTTATTTTTTTATTATTGATTTGCAAGGCTTCTTTATGTTTTCTGGATATAGTCCTTTATCAAATACATGTATTTTTTTCTCCCCACCTGTGGTTAGCCTTTTCATTTTTTATTTTATTATTATTTTTATTTTATTGTTATTATTTTTTTAAAGATGACCGGTAAGGGGATCTTAACCCTTGACTTGTTGTTGTCAGCACGATGTCTCCCAAGTGAGCTAACCGGCCATCCCTATATAGGGATCCGAACCCGTGGCCTTGGTGTTATCAGCACCACACTCTCCCAAGTGAGCCACAGGCCAGCTCTGTATAATGAATATTTAATATCCAGTTATCTCATGAATATTAGGTACCTTTTGTTCCTTTCATCCCTTCCTATCTATGTTTCACTACGTCTAACTGACAGTCTTATACTTAACTCATTCTACGAATTCTATGTTTAACAAACTTTTTCTTACTATCTACTTACCTGTACTTAACGTATATAAAAATGTTTTGTCTATATTTCACAAATGTGTTCATTTTCTATAACAGAGTTGAATATTTTCTTTTTTTTTTTTCCTTTTTGTCTTTTTTCGTGACCGGCAACGGATTGCAACCCTCAGTGTCGCGCCCGTACCGGACCGGGACCGGCAACAGTATCGCAACCCTCGGTGTTGTGCCCCTACCTTGCTCAGCCAGTGAGCGGCCGGTCTGTATGCGGGATCCGAACCCTCAGTGGGAGCGCAGTGCACTGTAGCAGTGCGCCACCGGGCCGGCCCATAAAGTTTACTTTTTAAAAATAAAAGTAAGGGCCGGCCCGTGGCTCACTTGGGAGAGTGTGGTGCTGACAACACCAAGTCAAGGGTTAGGATCCCCTTACCAGTCATCTTTTAAATAAATAAATTAATTAATTAAAATAAAATGTAATAAATAAGTAAATAAATAAATGTATGTTATTCTCATATAAAAAATGCCTTCATAGAAACATCCAGATATGTTTGACCAAATGTCTGGGAACCGTGACCTAGCCATATAACATGAAATCAACCACCACAAAGTCCGTTATCAGATATATGATTTTCAAATATTTTTTCCTGTTGTATGAGTTGCCTTTTCACTTCCTTCATGGTATCATTTGCAGCATAAGAGTTTTTAATATGATGTTCAATTTATGAATTTTTTCTTTTACCCTATGCTTTTCATTATATCTAAGAAACCATTGCCTAATCCAAGGTTACAAATATTTACTCATGTGTCTCCTTCTAAGAGTTGTCTAGCTCTTATATTTAGTCCTTTGATCCATTTTGAGTTCATTTCTGTGTATGGTGTGAGGTAGGAGCCCAACTCCATTCTTTTGCATGTGGCTATCCAGTTGTCCCTGCATTTGTTAAAAAGACTAGTCTTTCCCCGTTTCATTGTTTTGCACCCTTGTCAAAATTTAATTGGCCATAAATATATGTATTTATTTCTGGACCCTCAATTCCATTCCATTGATCTATAAGTCTAACCTTATCCCAATACCACACTGCCTTTATTATGGTAGCTTTTTGAAATTGGAAAGTGAGTCCAACTTTGTTTTTTCTTTTTCAAGATGGTTTTGACTATTTTGAGTCCCTTTTCTAAGCAGCAGGGATTTTGATACAGATTGCATGGAGACTGTAGACCAATATGGGTAGTATTGCCATCTTAATAATATGAAGTCTTCCAATCCATGAACATCTTTCCATTTATTTAAATCTTTAATAATTATTTCAACAATGTTTCGTAATTTCCAGTGTTCAACAGCTCTTGCATTATTTATCAATTTTATTGCTTCCCTGTGGTCTAATTCATTTACATCAGTGGTC